GCCTCGGAGGACTGGGACTACTGGTTTATCAAAGCCTCCGCAGAGATCTACAGCTGGAACCAATGGGGCTACCGGCGCTGCTAGCAATATGGCAACACGTAGGACCGTTTCTGGATCGACTAGCAGTTCTGCAATAACCCCCCAGCTGCTGGCTTGAGGACGGCCACAACAACTTCCGGCAGTTCCAGGAGAACATCGACAATTGCTTCTCCCGCCACAAATACTCCTCGCTCCCCCGAGAAGAAGGGAACGGCACTCAGTTCGAGCAGTTCCACTAGTCCTACCGCTGATCGCCGGTCGTCTGCCGGAAGCACCGCAGGTACCACTGGTAATGTGAGAAGAGCCGCTACCTCTACAACCACACCCACGGCACCTACACACCGCCCACGCCCTTCAATATCTGCATCATCTAATACCGCACCTTCTGCGCGCCCTTCGGCTGCTTCCACGACCCGGGAGAATTTCACCTCGCCCAGACCGCCGTCCGCCACCGGACGACTTCTCCCTGCGACTGCAAGAGGAGCCACTGGGAGGTCCAGTCTTTCTTCTCGGCCTAGCGCTTCGACTTTACCCTCGAGAACCACGGGACCCGGTGGGTTTGTTAGTGCATCTAGCACTAATGCCTCGAAGGAACTGGAAGCGTTGAAAGTCAAGGTGTCTGATTTGGAGGAAAAGAACAAGGAACTTTTAGAGCAACTTCCCAAAGCAGGTGGTCATCCTACCGCTAATGGCGATGCTGAAACAGCTACCGAAGAGTTGGAGTCCGAGCTAGCGGATCTCAAGGCAAAGATTACTATCATTCAAGAAGCGGTATGGTTTTTGTCACATGTTAGATCATAGTATGTATATCTGGGGCTGACAAATCATATACAGAACGAGAAGCTACAGGCTCAATGTAAGGATGCCGAGACAAAATGTGAAACCTTTGCGGCCCTGGTTGAAGAATCTGCGGCAACGATGAGGGATACAAACGATAATATTATTGCTAGGCATGCAGAAGAGCGCAAGGCTCTTGAACGTGACTTTGGTGCAAAAGAAAAGGACCTTCTCGCACAGATTAATACCCTGAAAACTTCCCTCGAGTCTCTAGAAGCACGCCATGCCGAGGAGGTATCCAATAACACTTCCTTGACTGAAAAGGTATTTCTGTCTTTGATACGAGGGTTTGACCAGAGACTAATTCCGTGAAAGGCTGCGACTGAAACCGGCGATCTCCAGAGGGCTATTGAAGCTCAAGAGGCGGCACATAATAAGGCAGTTGAGGCTCTCAATGCTGCTCTTGCAGCTGAGAAGGAAGCCAACAGCCAGAGCTCAATTGATACGGAAGGCCTTGTCAGGGGGCTTACCGAAGAGATTTCCGCTCTAAAAAAACAGATTGAGGACGCAGATGAAGTTTCTAAAGGTGTCACCGAAAAGAACTTGGTGGCACTCGAGGCCCGCCAGAAGGAAATTGACGGGCTTAACAATGTCATTAGGCTCCTGCAAGAAGAAGTGGAGAAGGTGACGCTTGAAAACAAGGTCATGGAACAGAAGGCCATCCAGGAACTCCAAGAGAAACACACAGCGCAACTAGCAGAGGCGGTTAATGCTGAGAAAACAGCCGCCGAGGAGGCCAAGGCCGAACTCGAGAAGATTATTCAAGAGCATCGAGAACAGTTGGAAAAGGGTTCCAAGACTTTATCTACCCAGCTTCAAGAAGCTAAATCTTCAGCTAAGATATTGGAGGAGAATCTACTACTAAAGATTGAGGCTGCTAAGTTGGAGGGTGCTAAAGCTTTGGAGGCTGCTCAGAAAAAAGCAGCCGAGGAAATTGAAGCTGTCAAAGAAGAGAGTGAATCTCAGCAGAAGCAGTTTGAATTGACCATTGAAGTCTTGAAGAAGGAAGTTTCTGGCAACGTTGAGAGCAAAGACAAAGAATGGGAAAGCAAGATTGGCCAGTTGACAAAGTCAAACCAGGAACAAGTCAGCAACTTGACAGCCCAGCTGGATACCGCGAGAGAGGAGATCCAAGAAGCCTTACAGAAATTGGAACTAGTTAAGCAGCATTCCGATGGCGAGATCAAGTCGGCACAAGAGCAAAGGGAAGAAGAAGTCGCCGCCCTACAGAGTGCTTTGGGAACCTTGAATAAGGAACTGGCGGTTTGTTCCATATATGCATACACCATTTGTTCTTTTGCTCACGAGATTTATTGCAGGACAAGGAAAGCCAGGTGTTAAAATTCAAGGCGGATATTGAAAAGACTGTTAAGGATATGGCAGATAGCGCTGAAGTCAGTAGCAACCGTCCTCCGCGCAGGAGTCGAGTCGCTAACATTTGCATAGGCGGCTTCCAAGCTTGAGGACGCCCATAAGGTCGCCCTTGATTCTCAGCGCGCCGAGCATATTATGGAAATCGAGAAAATGAAGGCTGAGCTCACTTCTGGCAACGAGGGAAAGTACACTCTGCTTTCTGACAAGTATGAGGTGCTTGTTACCGAACTAGATTCAGTCAGAGAGACACATAATGTCGAGATATCCCGCATGGCTGGGGAACTTAAGAAGGCAGATGGCATGTCAGAGTTATTGCAGAGTCATAGCTCTACTATTTCTTCGCTTGAGGACCAGCTTGCAATTGAGAAAGCCTCCCGAGTCGAGCTACAAGCGACTCTGGATGCGGTCCCTGATCAGTCTGCTTTCGACACCCTTTCGAAGCAACTTGAGATAGCAAAGGCAGAACTTGACGAGATTAAGACATCCAAGGATGCTGAGATCAAAGGGTTGCAGGAATCGATACAGGAGGCAGAGGAATCTAAATCTGGGCTCGAGTCTGAGGTCGCGAAGGAGAAGGCTTCAAATCAGGAGCTTCTCGAGAAAGTTTCAGCCCTCGAAATAGAGGTCTCAGAGGCTAAGAAGGAGGTGGTCGAAAAAGCTGTAGCCGCTAAGATATCAGAGGAAGAAACTAAGGATCTCCGTGCATCGATGGAGGCTGATTACAAGTCGATGGAGCAGATTTACCGGATTGAGATTGATGAGCTGAAGCGTGAAACCAAGGGCTTGAAGGATAAGCTTGGGGCTGGTGAGTCCGGGATGAAAGGCAAGGACGGGGTCATTGAAACGCTTGAATCTGAAAAGAAGGAAGTTGAAACTACTTTGGCTGTTCTCAAGAAGGAGAAGGAGGCCTTGGAGGAAGAGAAAGTGGCCCTAGCGGATGGGAATGGGTCTCTCAGTAGAGAGATAGAAACCCTTAAGGAGGAGCAGGAAGCCTCTATGGCGTCTATCACCACTGAACTGGAATCTTTGAAAAGAGAGTTCAGTGTCCTGAAAGAGGAGAAGGAGGCCGCCCTTCAGACCGTGAAGGCAAAAGAAACCGACCTCGAGAAAACTAACCAATTGGTCTCCTCGTTGGAAGCCGATAGCACAGAAAAGTCTAACAGTTTAGAAACAATTACCAAGGAGAAGTCTGACTTCGAAGCCGAGATAAAGCGACTCAAGGAACGGGTCGAGAGTCTTGAGGAGCTTATCAAGACTAAAGAATCCGCGATTGAAATGGTTATCAGGGGCTCGGAAAAAACAGAGACGGCTTTGAAGGAGCAATTGGGCGCCGCTGAAGCTCTCGCCAAGGAGAAGGAAGCAGCACTTATAAATTCCCAGAAGGGATCGGCGGCCAATATGAAAGTAGCCGAGGCGGAGCTAGCTGAATTGAAGCTACGAATCAAAAAGCAGGTGAGCACAGAAGATGGGCCCTCTCGCGGGGGAGAAACCGGGGAGACTTCGGAAGTTAAGGAAATACATATTGCAGGAATTGTCAGCCACCCAATCTCCTTCCGCTAATGTGAGTTGCTAAGGAAACTATGCTTCCTCTCGCAGCCGTATATGAATGAACATGCGGGGCTAAGAATTGTGATATTAAAGGTAGCTGCACTCAAGATGCAACTTAGCCAACTGCAAGCCGATAACGAGGAAACTACACGGGAAAATGCTAGGTGTGTATACCACTCGCGACCCCATGCATTGTGCCTTTTTTGTGAATCTTTTGCGTATTGATCTGCGGGTACGTTTGGATTTTTATGGCGTTCTTCGGTTGGGCTAATTTCTCATGTGATCTTCCGCAAAACGATAGGATGTTGAAAATGATTGAAAGCCTGCCCCTTGGGTCGACTTCTGATCAAGGTTGACCTCCATCCATTCATATACTCTTGCGCTTCGGGCTGCGGAGGGAGGCACGATAATCTCGAAATTCTTTCTTGCTCCCTCCCCCTTTCCCTTTCCGTAGCGAGCGATCCACCGGATTTAACTTTTTCCTTATTTATTACTTTTTTTATAGCGACTACTTAAACTTCTCAACCAAACCAAGTCGGTTAGATGGACGGATGCACGCACGGATGTATTGCCTGTGGGGTGGTTTATTTTTCCTTGGGGGTTTAATTGGCTTTTATACCATACCATGCCATTTTTCAATTTTTCCTCCAGGTTGTGGGAATTGTGTAATTTTGATACCAAGGCGAAGCCGGGCGTGGGGGGAGTAGAGGATGTTTGCCTTTTTCCTTTCGTGTTGTATTCCCTAGGTGGCTCAATCAGTCATGAAGTAGCTCTAGTCATGTTGCGGTAATGAAGAAGTTTTCTCCTTTTTTCCTTGTTTATTTTATAGAGCCGTTACGGTACATTCCGGCGTTGCGAGAGTGGCTGCATAGAAATGGGGGTAGCAGCATAAAGAACCGGGGTGTGCTTGTAAAGACACAAGACTTAACCTCATTTGGCCTCAGAAGCAAAGGAACCTACCGTACCGTAGTCTTTTGTCGTTCTTGCTCACAATTGCTCTCAAGTTTGTTGCCGTCTTTATCACAACTCACGCCAACGGGGGGGGAAACAAAAAAGTGCCAGACTTTCCCAGGGGAACTCCAACGACATAGCACACCGTTCTCTTATCCGAGTTTATACGGTAAAATTGAGTCTGTTGGTTTTAGCAGATGAAATTGTGGATAATGTGAATAATAAATGCAAAAATCCTTTGTCATACATAGGCCTGGTTAGCTCAGTGGTAGAGCGTGTGGCTTTTACAACGAGTAAAATCCTGTGAAGAACACCTCAATGTCGCGGGTTCGACCCCCGCATCAGGCTGGATTTTTTTGTCACTCTCCAAGCCGCCTATAGGGAGTGGTGGCAGCGGGCGGTAGGCAATGCAGTATCTAGAGTTTCGTTCCCGGTTCAAATCACGCCAAATATACCGCAAAAACTTGAATAATTGGACGTTGTACAGAGCGGTTAATTTAAGGTATGTCTCACCAAGCAATCATCATGCTAATCAGTCAATATCAGTTTCATACTTTCTTAGCTACTAGTTATAGTAAAAATTCAGCTCATCCACAGATTCTTCCACCTCTTCTGCCTCTACACTCTCATCATCAATAACTTTCATCCCTCCCTCAGCCTCTGCCTCTGCCTCTTCCTTCTCTGCTTCCACTCCCACTTCGTCTCCTTCTTCCTCCCAATCACCTTCCCCTTTCATCTCCTCCACCTCATCCTCTACTCACACTTCCTTTAGCCCCTCAACCAGAAACTTCTTAGCTAATTCCTTGATAGATACTATTTGGTGATTCTCACTACCATTGATAGGTAGTGAGAGACCTACAATACAAAATACTTGGCGGATAACTTCTATCTACTTAGTTGAAAACTGCTCCTATGCCTCACCAACAATGTGAGTAATCGCTATTCTCCAATAACCTATCATACTACCGATAAGTTTCTCCTCCACTGCCAAAATTCTTTCTTCCTCTTCCTCAATGTCTTTAAGTTGCTAATCCATCACTTCCTAGATTTCCCAACCAGTCCAATTATAAGATAAGTTTTTACTTTTCTATTTCTATTGAAAATAAGTATTACTAACCTTTAATATCTTCTTAAATGGACCATTGATAGACACATCTAGAGGCAGTACAAGGCTAGTACAGCCTTCCAGTATTACACTAGGTATAATATTATAGGCACAGAAAGTATCCAGTACCTCAGATGTTTTGTGACTGGAGAAAAGGTCAAGTGCCAGAAGTGATGGCTTACTATTGAGAACAAGTATAAGCTGTTCCTCAAGCCACTCAATCATGTTGATTGAGTTGACATAGATAGTTGGGTTAAACTTAATAATAACCCAACTGTTATATCTTTGATGCTCCGCTACAATCATAGGTCCAGTACCCATTCCATAAAAAAATAAAAGTTGTTTAACATGAGGAATCCTATCAGCAAACACAGTGAGTTGTATAGTCCCCTGACGCTTATCTTAGCCTGACTGGCTAGATTGAATCCAGATTGTCTGCTTACTAAGTTGATTGTAAGTTTGACCCTCTAGGTATTCGAAAGGGACTGGTATCTAGTCTATGTCACAGATATTTTGTAATTGGTATCTGGTAGCCTGAAGCTCTCTCTCAGCACTGCTCTCTCTGAATTCTCTTGGCCTGTGCCATCAGTTCTAACAATTAAATTGAAATCAGAAAAGTATTGCCTCTCCAAAATCTTTTGGCAACTGACTGGCTTTATTGGTGGCAAAGTGAAGGCTAATTTGACACCACCTCAGATATCCACAAAACCACCCATTGGAGAACTTAAATTCTCTCATATCCTCTTCTGACTAATTTTTAATAAAGAGTTCTTTACTAACTCTTTTAAACTAGCCACATCGAACCATCCTTCCAAGAGCATGCCACTCTTGGAATTTTTGAAAAAGTTCTTTTTCCATTTTGGACCACTAGTACTTTCTTCCACCTCCTCTCGCTCTCCTCTGTCCAACCCTTTACTTCTTAAACTTTCTTTCTTTCTCTTTTCTTCTCCAATACGATAAATTGGCTGCTGGTACCTTAAAGTAGTTAGCTACCTTCTCTCTTGTTATTTAATATACCTTGTTTGGACTACAGCATATTTGAGTCCCCATCTAGTACAAGGAAACTTGAAGTTTATAACTGATAGTATAGGAATAGTAGTATAATATGTTTGAACAGGGGTCCTATTCATATAACATTATAATAGGAGCAGATAGCTACTTGATTAATAAGAGACGAGTACTGCTTGCTAAAGAAGGCTTTGAGAGGGTGTAATAAGAAATCAAAGAAGTAACTGCTCAACCAAGTATATTAGAAATACTATTAGTCAAAGTCTGCTGTTTCCACCATGGAAATCAGCAGTCTTTAAATATAACTTATTGCTTATAGCTAGTATAAGCAATATTATATAACCTTGTATGTATCAAGTGATAGCACATGAAACAATACAAGTACTAAATGATACTGTGAAACCAAACATAAAATATTGTATGTATCAAGCAATACCACACAATACAATACAAATATCAAATGATACTATAAAATCAAATGTAAAACATTGTGTGTATCAAGTAATACCACATGAAACATAACCTAGTACCTATACTGGTTACAGGTAGGAGTTTACTGTAACTTTAGATGACTTTCAAAGGATTTTGGTAAGTGGCTTTCACTTTGGTCTACACTTTTTTTTTTATATCATTGTAGAATCAGTCTGCTGGAAGAGGAGAAAGGTCTGGCTGCACATGAATCCAGCTACAAGGCTGTGATGGCATACTGCTAACTGATTGTTTTGTATCTGTTTAACTGTTTCTTTGTATATAGTCTATTATGTATTTACATTGTTTATATTTTCTACATGTCTGAAAAATCAGGTAAGGTTCCAATTGACTTCAAGTAAGATTTAATGTCTCTGATTTCTCGTATTTTTCATACTCCAAAACAATCCCGAGACATTAATTTCCGTTCCTCCTAGCTTTGAACCTTATTTTGACCTTCTAGCACACCGTCCATTAGAGTTTTTGCGGTATGGCAAGGAAGCGGGTAAAAGTAAATTCTGAAAAAATGGTAATGTTCGAATGAATGCCAAATAACCTTTTTCCATCACCACCATGATATTACCACAAGCCAACTTATATACAACCCGGGTGATGTCACGTTGCACGACACAAGCATCAATCAAAAACAACCTTCCTCCTACCCCCACCACCCTTCAACGCCTCTTGAACAATCACCATCTCACCCTCCCTAGCTTTCCTTGCCGCTTCCCAGGATGGGTGAAGATTGCCCTCCGTTTGTCCCTCCTCCTTCTTCTTCTTCTTCTCCTTCCCTCCCTCCCTCTCTTCTTTGCGCTGCGCTTCTTGCTTCAAGTGCGCTGCATTCTGTCCGTACTTTTTCGCCCACAGGGCACGGCGGGCTTGTTGGCCCATGCGGTTTTTCCGCTGTTTCTTCTCGGGGGGACCTTTTTTGCGTTTGGGTCTGGTGGTGCTGGAGGTGGAGGTGGAGGAATCAGAGATGTAGCCTGTTAGGAGGGTGGGGAGGAAGGTGCTTGCTCCTGATTTTGTTTTTGGCTGCGGTTTGGACTTTGGGGGTGAAGATGTGGACCAGTCACTGTCATCATCGTCATTGCCCGAGGCAGAAGTTGACAGACTGAGAGGTTTAGTATCTTCCTCATTCTCCCCCTTCTTCTTCCCTTTAACCCCCTCATCCTTCTCCTTCCTCCACAACCTCTCCTCAATCTTCCTCTTCCCTTCTTCCTCTCCATCGCTACCACCTCGCGCCATCTCTTCCACCTCATCGACGCCCAAAATCCGCCTGACGCCCCCCAACACACCTCCCATAACCTCCCTAACTGCTTTAGCCCCATACAACCTGGCACATACATCCCTCTCCACCTTCCCGATTCCCGGCTCTTGTCCATCCTCCCCCTCCCCC